GGGAGCAGGAAACAGAGCTCCCTGGAAAGCTGTGCAATGAGGCAACCGAAGTACTTGAGCTGAAGGGAATGGTGACAGGTGTTTGACTAGCAGTTGCCTGGCCGGAAGACGATGATGCCGGTGACACCATGGGCGGTTGTGGTGGTAGAGGAGGGGGCATTTGTACACCACTTACCTGGCCAGAGTGAGATTGCCCTTGCGATTGAATTGGCCTAGTCTGCTGTCTGCCTACAACTGAACCCTGAGTAAACAAAATGCCGCTCAGGTTAGACTGACCTTGCTGCTGGTGGTGTTGGTGCTGTGGGTGCTGTTGGGCGGGAAGGTTTGATAAATGCTGAGAACAAAGTGACTCAAAGCCAACTGATTCAGACGTCTTCATGTTTGGTAGAGTTGAGTATTCCTGTCCTGTCGAAGTGGGATATTGAGCTTGTTGCTTACGCTGCTGCTGTTGCTGCTGCGGATGTTGATAGATATTCTGTTGCTGTGTGGGGGGTGGCTTTTGTTGTTGTTGTTGTTGGAGATGTTGAGGATGATGGCTAGTCATAGGAGGATGGCCATTATCCAGTTCGGAGGGTCGACACAAGCCACTGGAAGCTGATGTGTGCGGCTCACTTTTAACTACAGCTAAAGCGTTCCCGGCAGCGGTGACGCTGCCAGCCGCCATACTGGAAGGCACGTGTGGAAGTGTGGCGAAGTTAATGTTGTTGTTGGAGTAAATTGAGTCATTTTGCATGGAAATAGGCATACTTATCGGACCACCAAGCATTGCGTCTGATTGTAAGCTATAAACTTGCCCGGGAACAGACTCTAGACCTGAAGACACTGGTAACTCGAGAGAAGGATCTTGCTTGCTCACATCGTCGTCGGGTAGTTGCGTGTCCAGATAGAGGTTATCGCCAACAGCGGCTCCACCATTGCAGCCCGTATCTTGTTTTATGGAATCAGCAAACTTCTTTTGATCAGAGCGAGATGAAAATGTGGGGAAAGGAGTGATATCTTCTTCTTCGGTTGACTCAGAAGCCAGCTTTTTTACGGGAAGTATTTGCGTCGACTGTGTCTTGGCAGCAGGTATAGAAGCCGCAACGGTGTTGGAGGCAGAGGAAGATGGTAGAGGCAACGGTGACTCTTGCCCCTCGATGAAAACCGAGTCGAAGTAAAAGTCCGGACTGCGTCGGGAGAAAAGGGGATGTTCATGACTGACCAGAAGATTAGCTTGCTCTTCAACTCTCGACATTTGCGCCTCTGTCTGGACTGCTCCATATAATGACAAGAGGATGCCTTGCTTACTCGGATCTATCAGATCCCAAGGCTGGAATCGCTCGCGGCGCACCACTAGATAGCCTCGCTTACGAGCGAATGTGTGCATGCCACCGCCGATACTAGTTGCCATGGCCGCCGAAGCCGTAGTCGAAAGGAGTCCACCGCCAGAATCCCTGGATCCAGGAACACCAGACAGACCCGATGACCCACTAGAAACAGCTTTTCCTGTAAACTTGGAACCGCCAGCCTTCCCTGCACCACCCGACTTTCCCGCTCCGCCACCGGAGCCTCCAGTATTAGAGCTGCTTTGTCCGCCACCGGGAACGCCTCCTGGACCTCCAGAACCCCCAGGTCCGGATCCTCCTCGCCCTGCCTGGTGAATGGGCATCACTACGAATACCGGATATGCAGACTTTCCGGAAAGCAGCAACGGCCTAAGGTGCTCGGTACCTGCGCTAAAAGGTCGATCAGTGACTTCACGACGCATCTTCTTCATCATGTTTTGGTAAATTTTTCCCTCAAGGCCGTAGCGCGCCACCACCGTATGCACTAGGGTGTGTAACATGTCAAGGATAGTGAAGAAAAGCGGTCCATTTGAATGTGGCTCACTGACACCATGCACGATTAATTGACTGAGAAGCAAGGCCCATCGGCTTGCCATTTCAGCATCCTGTTGGAGAAGACGGAAACGCTGGCCGACTAAAGCAAGACGCAGGCTGAGACATTCCTGTAGTACCTGTCTAGTGCGCAGGTTGTCCGGCACCCTGTCCTCCAGTTCCTTGGCACTCTGCACAAATGAATCAATCTGCTCGAACAGTCCATCGAGAGGATCGGCCTCATGCAAACAGACTTGGAGCAGCGAGAAGAAAGGAGGATGTGCCAGCACGATGGAGTTAACCAAGAGGGCGCGCTCTTTATCTTCGTCGTTCTTGTGGCGTCGGAATTGGCGAACACCCTTCAAGGACTGAAAATAAAGAGTAATAAATATGGAAGGTTCGATAAAGCATTCCTGATTGGTTATGCCAAGCATATTATAGGCTTGATTTTCCACTAATTCAAAAACTGTAGATAGTGGCTAATTATGATTAATGAACCACTTGAATAGTGCTTTGTCAAAACATTCTTATTCCTTTGCAAATCCTAGCACATTAAATCTCACTCTCAATCTTTGACAATTTATCTAATCGGTCTGTCCAGACAGACTCTCTATAAAATTGTAAGTAATCTAAGTCAACAGGTTAATAGGGTTGGTAGGATAGGCAAACTTATTTCACC